CTCAGAGGGGCTTCAGTGACGTAGAGCTGGGTGCTGTGGCAGACTGTGCTACGGGCAGCATTGTCCTGGTTGGGCAGGGAGAGGAATTGAAGCCATTTGGCTCCTGTGCTCAAGTGCTGTTACTTCCCACTTTATTTTTGTTGTTCCTAGCAGTGTTTCCCTTGCCTGTAACAGTCCCGCTGTCGCTGGGCTGCTTGGCCCCAGGCAGGTAGGGGTGAGTCCCGAGGGCAGGGGGCTTTACACGTGGCACCCAAGCCATAGCTGTATCACCAGCACCCCCATTTCTCTGGTCTATAACTTCAAACCCCCCACGTTTTGGCTGGCTTTTTTGCCGCACCCCTGGCTTTCTCAGTACCTTTTGCTGCTCGGGCTCAGGCGCAGCTTGCCCACCTTGCCCTGCAGCACACGTGCCTGCCCGTGCCATGGCTGGTGGCCAGCGCTGAGGTTGGGCATCGAGGCCAACGCCAGCAGGGAGCTGGGACGGGCCCTGCCTTGCCAGCGGTCACGGTCTCTAGGGAGCGGTTTCAGCAATGCCACACCGTGGAGTGTGCAAGCACCTTTTCACGGGGTGCAGTAGCTGTCCCTGCTGTGCTCTCTGTGTCACCGGCCCTGCCAGCTAAGGGGGACGTGGGGCAGCACCCAGCCGAGGGTGCCTTCCATGCAGGGGCTGAGTGCCTTGATAAGGCTTTTTCTGCTCTGGCATTTAATTTCTGTTTGCTGAGATACTTTGGTTGTCACGTGGGGCACCCCTCTGTAAAACCATCCCCGGCTCTGCCCAGCGAGGGTGTGATCACAGAACCACACAGAATCCCAGAACAGCAGGGTTTGGAAGGGCCCTCTGGAGATCACCCAGTCCCACCCCCCTGCTCAAGCAGGCTCACCCAGAGCAGGGGGCACAGGACATCGTCCAGGCGGGGGTTGAATATCTCCAGAGAAGGAGACTCCGCAGCCCCCCTGGGCAGCCTGTGCCAGGGCTCGGTCAGCCTCCAAGTCAAGAAGTTCTTCCTCACATTCAACTGGAACCTCTTCTGCTTCAAGATATTTGTACATGTTGATGAGATCCCCTCTCAGCCTTCTCTTCTCCAGGCTAAACAAGCCCAGCTCCCTCAGCCTTTCCTTGTAGGAGAGATGCTCCAGTCCCCAAATCATCTTTGTAGCCTTCCTCTGGACTCTCTCCAGCAGCTCAGTGATACCAGTCCTGGCCCTGCTCCAGCAGCTGCCCCCACCTCTGCAAGAACCCCTGGGCGATGTCCCCTTGCCTGCAGCCAGCCCCGGGGACACACAAGGGGTGCGGCTGAAACCCCAACCCCTGCCATGCAGACCTCCCTTCCCTGCAGGAAGGACAAGGATCTGGTTTTGGCCGGGCTGGCCAGGGAGCAGGGGTTCCCACGAGCCGCTTGGCCACCTGCAGCTCAGGCAGAGGGGTCAGGCAGCGCCCAGGGGCTGGCACATCCCGCGGGTGCCGGTGAGAGGGACCCTATGCAGGAGATTGCAAAGGGAAAATGAAATTCCAGCTCAAGGCATATGTTCTCTCCTGGGGAGAGAAGCAGAATGGACTGTTATGTGACAGCAAACATTTTTTTGGGGCAGAATTTTTTGTTTTTATTTTTTTTTTTGCACGAGTTGTTTGAATTTTAGCAGCATTTTCTGCTGTGGTTTTGCAGAGGAGGAAAGCAGCACCCACAGCCCCCGCCTCACCTCACCCGCCGGCCATGCTGGCCACAACCCAGAGGACGTGCAGCGCGTCCATTTTTGATGGAAACTTCAGAGGGAAAGATTTTAAAGATAAATAGCACAGTGGTGGGTTTATCCAATATTTTTTCTTAATTCAAGCAGCACACACACACAGAATAACTCCACCTCTCTGGCCATAAGGAAAACCACATTGCTACCAAAAGTGGTTTATTGCCTGCCACACAGCCCCCCCCCTCCATTTCCTTCTCAAGCAGGGAGTTGCACATGAATCCACTGGCGAGCACTGGGCGCCTTTGTGGGCATCAGCCCCCCCTTTGCACTTGGGGAAACAGAGGCAGGGGCAGCTCCAGTGCTTCCACTCCCAGGCGTGTTGGAAATGCCCAGAGCGTGCCCGCCAGGAGCCAGTGCCTGCCTGCTTGCCAGAAAGCCGCAGCTGGGGAGCAAAGTTCCCTTTGGCTCTGTCCTGCCTGTCTCGGGGAAAGGCTGGAGGGAAAAACCCCACCTTCCACGTCCTGCAGCTACGGGGCCACTGGGGTTGCAAACACCCGGAGATCCCCTGCTGCCGTGGGGGGGAACCAGCAGAACCACTGCTCTGAGGGGCCTTGTGCTGGGAGTGGGAACCGGCAGGGAGCAAGCTGGGGATGGAGCAAGGGGTGAAGGGAAAGTGAAGCCCCAGGGCGATCGGACCCCGATCGGGCCTCCTCCTTCCCCAAGGACCCTGAGCCCCCAACCCGCTGTGACACTGGGGCTGAGCAGGGGTGTGTGTGTGTGTGTGGGGGGGGGGTGTGCATGGACACAGACACACATGGGCACACGGGGATGCACACACTCATGGGGACACACACGCACGGGCACGTGGACACGGGCAGACACACACACAGACATAGGGACACACATACGGACACACATGGGCACAAGGGACACACACGGGCACAGGGGACACACATGCACACATACACACGGACACATACGGGGGGTACATGAACATGGGCAGACAGAGACACATGGACACACACACAAACATGGTCACGGGCGGACACGCACAAGACACACAGACACACATGGACGCACACACAGACATGGACACGGGCAGACACGGGGACACACACACACACACGGGCACATGGACACACGGACACGGGCAGACACACTGACACACCCACAGACAGCCC